CTCCTCGAATGTCAATATGTCGCTAATTTACGTTCAAGTGGCGTCAGGTGTCACTACTCTACTATTCTACACGGAAGGACGGACGGACATTTCGTTTGTATGACCCAAGACTTTCAGTCAAGGGAATTATACAATCCAAATTTTATTTAATGATAATAGTAATAGATGAATTAGAAACTGTTATTAATATAAAATTCAATTAAAAAATGTCTTGATGATAATCAAACCTCTATTACCGATCAACGTGCTACACAAGCCTTCACAGAATTAGAACATCTTATTTATCAGTTATATAAAAAACCATTATCAAACAAATTATATCGACGTGCTCGACGTGAATATAAACAAGTTAAAAAACTTCAAAAATTCTTACACAGTCGACCTGATATTATTCTATGTCAAATTGATAAAAGTTCAGGATTTTATATTGAAGATGCTCAAACAATTGAATTAAAAGCATATGAATATATGGCTACAACAAATGCTTACCAAGAAATTACAGATGGTCATTGTCCATTAGCTGAAAATTTACGTACCGTACAAAGTTTACTTCAAAATCTTTTAGAACAAAAAGCATATAGCTCTTCATAGGTTTAATATTTCGAGCTGAAACTTTTACTGTGAAGTAAAAATTTCAGCTCGAAATGAGTTGTAAAGCGACGTTGTATGTCTCTCACAGCCGTTGTTCTGCTATTCTCTCTTGACTCATATTTATCGTTCTCGCTCAAGAGCTGATAAAAGCGGAGAAAAGAAAAGAAAAGAAAAGAGAAGAATGATCTGATAACTGTCCCACTCTTTGACTCATTGTANATTTATCGTTCTCGCTCAAGAGCTGATAAAAGCGGAGAAAAGAAAAGAAAAGAAAAGAGAAGAATGATCTGATAACTGTCCCACTCTTTGACTCATTGTATTCCATTCTCGCCAGCAGCTGAAAAAAATCAACATCCCCGAGAGACAAAAACTACCAACCTGCATAATAACGCGATAAACGACATTGTTTCCTTCAACAAAGTAGGAAAAATTCATACCTCCACTTTGCTCTTTAGACCTACGATGGCTTTTCCTCAACCTCGAAACTTCAATCGACACGTTGTACAAATAAGTTTTCCATAAGAGTTTCTCAAATTAAACAATTCAAATAAAGTTACAGCTTGGCTTACAGTAATATATCGTAAGTCAGCTTTAGAACACGATGCCGTTTCTCTTAAGCTCTTACACGTATCACATTTACTTTTTGAGTTACCCGAAATTCGAGCTACCCGAAATTCGAGCTACTCGAAATTCGAGCTACCCGAAATTCGAGCTACCCGAAATTCGAGCCACTCGAAATTCGAGCTACCCGAAATTCGAGCTACCCGAAATTCGAGCTACCCGAAATTCGAGCCGTTGTTCTGCTATTCTCTTTTGACTCATATTTATCGTTCTCGCTCAAGAGCTGATAAAAGCGGAGAAAAGAAAAGAAAAGAAAAGAGAAGAATGATCTGATAACTGTCCCACTCTTTGACTCATTGTATTCCATTCTCGCCAGCAGCTGAAAAAAATCAACATCCCCGAGAGACAAAAACTACCAACCTGCATAATAACGCGATAAACGACATTGTTTCCTTCAACAAAGTAGGAAAAATTCATACCTCCACTTTACTCTTTTGACCTACGATGGCTTTTCCTCAACGACCTTGGCAACGCGCAAAGGGAATTGAATGGATGTGGCAATCGAACGGGAATCCTTTCGATCTATCGCAAAAATCAGAATGGAAGAGTTATTCAGATGTTGAAACTATAGTCATAGAAGAAGCGTATCAGAAGAAACAGCTGGCAGTGTTACTCGATCAATATCATATTAATTTAGAGCAACTTATTCAAGTTTCGAATATCGATGAGAAAAAACAACGGCCCGTCAAACGAATTGCTCTGAATACTACACAGTGGAGAATAAGGAAAGAACGCTTTCTTGCCGATCCTATTGAACCTTCTAAACCGTTTTCTACAACCCGTTCGCATGATTTCCTCGTCGAAACAGTGGCATATTATAACCTTTGGCACACCGATGAATCTCGTTTGCTCATAGAAAAAGCAGCAGAAGGACTTACCATCGAAGGCAAACTGCTTGGTAAAGAATGGGAGGGACGACAAATGGCAGAACTGTTACTTCTCTACAAGGATTATTCTCGGGAAGAAATTGTACAAATGTGTGCCTATCTGTATTCGTTGGACTCATTTCTCTATCGAAAACTAACGGAAATCATGCGTCTTATTGAAGACAAACGCTATGAACATGTGTGGAAGAGTAAAGTGCCCACTTTGGGTCCTTTCGCTTATCTGCTGAACTGTATGGCTACAGAAATGAAATATACAATAGATTTACCGGTAGAATCCATGACAGTCTATCGTGGATGCAACTTGTCTGCGGAAGCAATTGAAAAATTCAAAGCATTTCATACGAAACATCAAGCACATAAATACCACACATCATGGATTTCATTTTTATCATTTACATCGACCAGTCGAAGTAGAAAAATAGCAGAGATTATGAGTGGTAATGTACTCTTCATAATTAAAATTTGTCCTCATTACGAAGGTTGTGATATTTCTCCATACTCGTTATTTGACGAAGAAGAGTTTCTTCTCATACCGACATTCTCATTCTTGATTGTTTCATGTGAATACGACGAGCATATTCACAGATGGACTATTGGTCTTAAATCGGCTAATTCTTTTCATACTTCGGAATGTTAATCACTTGTTTATATCAAAGAATGCCTAGAAAGTAGGATCTTATATTCAAGAAGGTAAAGAAGTGTAATTAAAATAAAATACGCTATTAACCTGTTTGAAACTCTTGTTATGCTTGACTAGTGGTAAAAACGGCATCGTTGTCACTATTTTCTTATAGAAACTCACTCTCATCATGATATCAGTGAACTACTTTGATCGTTTTTCATTCCGTGTATGGAAAAAACCTGGTGAAAGTAAGGCGGGCAACTATAGTCCGATAAACCTATTCTTGTTGTTGTTTTTTTTAAATTTTTAAAATTTTTAAATTTCTCGTTGCGCAAAAGCTAATTTCTGAAAATCAGTTTGATTTCTTACCACTACACTTAATAGCCGGTCAATTAATAGATATTGTTCATCATGTAGCGAAGGGATTCACAAATGGTGAGTCCACTGTTGCCTGTTTTGTCGATTTTTCCAAAGTCCTCGACAGGGTAAATCATGAAGGTTTACTCTTAAAACTTCGCAATAAAGAAATGCCAATGACGCTCATCAATTGGTTTAAAAGTTATCTCTGTGACCGCCAGATTACAACAATAGTTGAGGGTTTTGAGTCTGATGTAAATGACGTCATTTGTGGGATTCCTCAAGGATCGGTGCTTGGACCACTTCTCTTTTTATTGTATATTGACGCCTTAAGACCCACCCCCCACCCAAAAACCCATTTCTGCTTACCAGCATCCGATCTTAATGAAACTTTCAGAGATGGTGTATCTAGGTATGATGACCTCACAGTAAAAATTTCAGCTCGAAATACTAAACCTATCAAGAACTAGCTCGCAATTAAGGTCCAAAAATGGGTCTTCGTCCGTCCCAGATTCCTCTGCCGTTTTTAATCGGCGTCTGTTAAGTTGTAGCCCTACATCTTAGCTACATTTTAAAACCAACCCGAGCTCTCTAACGTTAAAAAGGGCAGAGAAATGTGGGACGGACGAAGACCCATTGTTGGACTTTAATTGTGAGTTATAGCTCTTCATAGGTTTAATATTTCGAGCTGAAACTTTTACCTCACAGTAAAATCAAAATCACTGTAATTACTCTACATTTAGTTTTGAATTTTATTTGTGATCATTAAAGTTTCAATTTTTCCTACTTCTTTCAATGGTGATCTATAGGGTTTTTTCACTTGAGAGAGCTCAAAAATATCAAAAAAAATTTTTGGGTAAAAATCATCGAAAAAAGTCGTTTTTGGTTTCGCGTGAAAACGAAACATATTGGGCGCATGAGGGTAGAGGCGAAAACGGAGCATTTTTTGCGGTGAACTTTTTGCTGGATTAAAAACTTTT